TATAGTAAAAGACTTAAGAAAAACTCATTGTGCAGTCTCTCTTTATCAGTCATATCAGGTCTTTTCTGTTCATGAGAATTTGCCAGTTTGAAAAAGAACAAATTACAAACTGTGTGTCAATTTCTTTTGGACTTAATAAGAGGAGTATTTAATCGGCTACTTCATCCATGTTCATTCACACAGCCAAACAACACATTTACTTGTACAAAATATTTATTTAGCTAGTCATTCTACCTGAGATACTACTTTTTAAAATTCAATTGACACAAAATGCAGATAAAAATAGTTTAAGTTGACTTTCTGACACTTTTAGATGTGATACTTCTTTCTATTGACATGTAACTAAATCAAAGTTTTGTTTTCTCTGGAAGGGTGTAACAGTGCACACTGCTAAAATAAAACTGTGTTCAAAAACCTATTGTGCTGTACCAAAAGAAACAAGAAGAAATGGTGCAGTAAAGTAGTACAAACTTAGTCACTCATTCAACTGCTCAAAATTGTATTTTGCACTATGCCACAAACTATCCTTGAGACAGGTTTTGGTCCCATGAGGATTAAAATTGGACATTTACTCACACAAATCTCTAAAAAGAACAATGCTAGTCTTGAGCTTTCTCAAGGGGCTAATTCGTCAGGTTTTACTCACAATACCAGTTAACAAGTCAAGATGTCAATCGCAAAGCAATCCACATAGTGAGAAAATGTTTCAAATATCAAGAACTTTAAACTATGCAGTTTGTTTTACATTTTACAAATCAAGCAGCTTCCAGAAATTTAAAAATAACAAAATTTATGGCTTGTTTGCCCAATAAAGAGCCCTATGTATACTTTTGACTTCACAGGCAGCCACATTCAAATTCACTGAAACTGAACATTAAACAAATATGGACTGTAAAAAGAAGGAAACAGGTACACAATACACTGATTTAACTCTATTAACACCAATGTAATGAGTAGTACTTCTTAATACTCTCTAACTACAGAAATATGACATCAGCTTCAACAAACCTCAGGAATGGGTAAAACATTCTTATTTCAACTTAAAATAAAAATAAAAACTGGGCATACCTTTATACACGCAAATTTATTTTTTCAATTACTTGTCCAACAGATGTCTAAACAGACTCTGCAATTTAGAACACCAAACAAAACAATCATTGCAATAAAAAAAATCTTTGTACAATAAGAAGAAAAGTGGCTATAAATGTGATACTACACTGAAAGGAGGAGACCATGGAAATGAGTAGTGAATAGTTCCCAACAATAGTCCGTGTAGAACAAATAAAAGTTGTTTGTCTGCTAGAAACACTGTGCCGGCCGGCCGGTTCAGCAGCCCTAGTCACAAAATATTTTGTTTGCAAAAAAGAATAAAATCCTATTAAAAATTTCTCAAAAGAAAGGAAAATGTATGTTGCACAACATACAACATATGTCTCACGTACGAGAGTAAATGAGAGAATGTTGCAAAGTACCCACTGAGTGATCTTCCTCCCAGTATAGTATTAGCATCTGACTAACATTCAACTATAATTATTAATTAATATATGGAGGTAAATTATCTCACATGAGACATAACAGATATTATGTTCAGAAATGTTTCACAAATAGCAAGAGCTCAATTTGTTTTCAGAAAGTTGAATGAAGTACAAAAGGACATCTGGAATAAACATATTTTCTTAACTAGTCCACACACACAGAAACGGGGTTGCGCCGCGCGTGCGCGCACTCATACATGCACACAAAATTTTGCAACACATGTACATTAAGTGCACACTTACACACATCTCATCAACATACACGATGCACTTTATGTACAATTCAACGCATTCACACACATGTAATCTTTGAATAATTGTGACCCGTGCCGAAATGTTCAGCCTTGCCATATATTAAAAATTAAGTAATGATAATAAAGAACCAGCAAACAAAAGTAATGAAAAACTGTGAAAAATGTCTGCATAGAAGAAGATTAGATTGAACATTATTGAAATGGTCCATAACAAATTACAAGAAGTCTAAGCATGAAAATATACATACATTCTCTTACTCTAAACTTAGGAATTTCAGAGAAAAGAACAAAACAATGCAGGATTCTTTGGCAAACATAAAATCTTCCTCAGTACAATATGAGGGAAATAAAAACAAACTACAAGGCAGAGCCTAATCATGGAGAGGCATTCACTTTAACAACTCCAGACATCAATATACAATATTCTGCGGTAGATACATAACTTGGCTTTTGAAGATGAAAAAAAAAAAAAAAATTGAAAAAGTCAAGCGGGCAATAGAATTTTTTTTATAAGCTTCAACTCCCAGCACGGGACACAAATCCAGATGGCAACCCTATTTGCACATTCATCATGACAACTGCATATACCTATTTGAATGTACACGCACACACACACACACATCAATAAGACCATTCCCTGAAAAGGAGTGGCATTTAATTTTCAATTCACAGTTTTCAATGACCTTATGATGGCCACTCAGTCTGTAAATCTCAATCCATCACTCTCTCTTAATCCCTTGTGGGGCTTCTGCCAGACCTTTCACCTTAAGCCTCTCTGCTGTCTTCAGGAAGGCTGGTAGCTGCTCTTGTGAAACATTTACTTCTCCTGCGTACATGAACTCCAAAATTGACTGGAGGTGGCTGAACGGAACATCTTTCAAGATAATTATTGGATGTTTAGAAGGATTTTCCTGAATAAGGCAGGGGAAATATGTTAATATTGTAATTGAAAATTAAAATAATAATTAGAAATCTCTTTGAGTGATTCAAATTTTACCTCAAGAAGTGTTTTGAAATAGGGACTGCACGCTGATAGAACCATCTTGTGTGCCTTACATGTTTGCCCCTCACATGCCAATGTAACATCTGTAAAACTTTTTTCATCTCGTAGATGCTTGAAAGATGAAACCATGTTTGACTGAAAATCGTTCCATTTCAGGAAAAACTGTTGTTGTTCATGAGCCATGGTAAAATCTGCAATATAGATAAAACGCTCATTAACGAGTGAATGAATGAGTCAATACAGTGAAATGGCGAATGCAAAGTTAAAAAAAAAAAAAAAACTCAAGGCAAAAACTAATAACATAAAGATCTAGAGTATGAATAATTTAAGATGGAAGAACATTAATTAAAATTGCAACAAGAGTTACAATGTAGTTACACAAAATTGTGCTCTAAAACACAAACGATTAAAAATTTGAAGGACACTTCCTAGATAATGATACAGAACAATAATGTCCATTCAGTGTTAAGATGCCGAAATAAAATAGAATGACAACTTAAATCCTGACAACCACTTCAAGGTGAAACCGATCGCCTTGAGATGAATTGCAGGTTAGGATTACATCACTAATTGATGCCGAAAATATTATGGACGTCTGTCCAGAGTAAACACACGATGATGAGCGAGAAACCATTGAGAAATGAGATTACCTGGAATGTACTGATATAATTAGAGACTATCGTATAACTAATATGTCACGCAAACGGAGTTTTTTTTTACTGAGGTGAAGCAATGAAACGTTTTGCCACGGACAGAAAAGTCTCACATCTGATAGTCCCCCTCCCCCAACGTAAATAGTGATAGACAAAAACAGATTCCCACACGTGAAAAAACGGTAAATGAAAGGAAAGTTAGGATACCAAACAAGCTATCGGATAATCATAAGTAATTATGCCAACCTGGGGAGATTACTACAACAAGAAGTTATAAAAATCACACTTGTAAACACCACTGTAACTGTTTCACTTCTCACTTCTTTTCCAGCCAGCCCTAAGCCCTAAGCCCTCTAGTTCGCGAGGCCGTAGAAAATGTCCAGTTTTAGATACGGCCAGTGCCGCTGGAGTACGGGTGCAGCACTAAAAGTCATACAAGTTATGTGCGGGAAAGAACGAGGGAAAATCTAGATGGACATTTTGTAATAATTAACTAATTATTACCCAGTTGTTTTGATTCTACAACAGCTTTTAAATGGACAAAACGTAAGTTGCAGTCCAGTGGGTGGCGTGGGAGTAGTGGTACCCATGAAAAGGCTCTGCCCTCTAGGATATTCCAGGCATTCGTCACGAAATAGTTGACAGTCGGTCACTTCTTTACTGTGCTTCGCGCCGAGACAACGCACAGGCATCACACAACGCTTGTGCGTGCTACAATATCCGCCATTGTTCAGCCGGGACTCGTGCTCCTGTAGAACCCAAGTTGGGTTTTGTGAAAATTTATTTGGTGTTGTGTGCTCAGTTTTAGTGCCATGTCGAAGAAAAGTGAGAACGAAGTTCATGGCTCAGAATCAGAGGCCGAAGAAGAAGAATTTTCTGTCGAAGAAGTGCTGGACCGACGGGAGAAAGGGGGGAAGGTTGAGTACTACTTGAAGTGGAAAGGCTATTCCCATGCAGACAATACATGGGAGCCTGAAGAAAATTTGGATTGCCCTGATCTCATTCAAGCATTTGAGTCTAAAAGACGCAAGAAGGAGGAGGAAAAGAAAGCTAACCGTAAAAGTCGTGGAAAGGACGAAGAGAAGAAGAAGCCGGCTGAGGATGATGACACACCTTTAGCCAAGAAAAAGAAGGTTGAGAAACCCGAAAAGGAAGACAGGAAGAAAGATGAAGAACGGAAAAAGAAGAAATCGACTGTTACCGACGATCAGAAACCTCAAGGTTTTGCCAGGGGACTCGAACCTGAAAAGATCATCGGTGCCACAGATTCCAGTGGTCAGCTTATGTTCCTTATGAAGTGGAAGGGAACTGACGAAGCAGATCTAGTCCCAGCTACTCAAGCCAACACAACTTGTCCTCAAATTGTAATTAAATTCTACGAAGAAAGGCTCACCTGGCATTCACCTTCCACCGATGAAGACAAAGGGGTCACGGCAAGTAATTAAGAATGTTCTTTCGAGTTGACATGATGCCACGGGAAGATTGGCACAATAATTCTACTCCCTTCTCATTTAATTATCTTAATATTAGAACTTGTTAATTGCTTTAAGAGCCTAGATTGTCTCTAGTTGTTCTTAAACCTGTTTTATTTGTAAGCATCTAGTATTACATATTCATTATTTTTATACTACCACTTTGATGCTTTGCATGTGGCAAAAGGTTTTCAACGAAATGAGAAAGAACTCATTGTTTGAAGTTCTAGATTAAGTGTCCAGGCACTTCCATGTGTCTTGCCTTACTTTTATTTTGTAAATAATCATTATTCTAATAAATTTTGACTTCCAAAACCAGCTTAAACTTGTTTCTGATGTATCAATTGATATTACCCTAAGATTGTTGCTACCTGTTTTGAGCACTTATCAAAGTCAAACACAAGCAGTTGGATTGACAAAGAGTGATTGTGTACCAATAGTGCACCTTCCAGTCTTTTGGTATTTCTTGATTAATGTTTTTAACTTGTTAGACTCTCCAGCTACCTTAAGTGATCTTAATTGGCTTGGGTGGAGCAAAGATTAGAATTAATTGTCGAACAGACAAGTTTTAATATTCTATGAAACAAATGCAGAAGTTTGACATGAGTAGTTCAAAGTGTAACCAGGGAGAAAATCACAGTACATGTACCCTGCCATACCTTCCACATCCTATAACTTATCACAGCAATGAGCAATCAAGCTGGTCCTTAGCCTTGAACTTCACAATAGAGAAGAGATTAGTCAGCTACACTCGCTTGAAGGCCTGGAGTGGTTAATTAGCAAGAACAACAAATTCGGCAATACCTGTACAATAGAGGTAGTGAACCCACAAAGCAAACAAAAACTGTAAACTAGTGCAACTTAAAAGGAACAGAAAATGGAAAGAAATGTTAGTTAAATGCCGAGTAACTTAAAAAGCACTCTTGTAAACCCCAACACTTTAGAATAGAATAGACATTGTTTCTGCTTTTGAGCATACTACCAAACTCAAACTTGAGTAAATAATATTTTATATATCTATATTGCCATACTGACTTAGTTCATCCACTGATCTTAAAAACTGACATCATGCATTACACCAAATTTTTCAGACTAGATTGAAAACATAGCAAGTTAAATTTCTGGTAGATATTTGAGCACTTCCTTTTTCTAAAAAAAAAATCTTGTATTGAGGAGCAGTGACTAAGAAAATATTAAGAAGAACATATGTTTTCTGTGGAAATTAAAAAAAAACTGTTTATTATCTAACATGGTTAGAAACATGAAGGCAGGAATCAATGCTGTAATTCTATTCAAAATTACCCTGTGAATTGAGACCATTTTAATAGCACTGCATGATCATTGACTAGTAGTTTCAGAAAATTAATCTCCAGCAGTCTCTCACTTATTGGTATTCAGTCAGATGTTCACAGATAAACAAATTCCCCCAACTTCTAAAGACTTCAGTCTTATTTCATCTTGCATATAAGTCATTATTTGCATAAATATTTAGACAGACATTTCAATAACAGCAGTATTCTTTGGTGTCAAGATTATCACCTATACCTTTCCACTTTGCTCTAGAAAACAATGTAGGTTTCGCAGCCAAATAGATATAAAACTATGACAAGACTTCAAACAAAATTTTGCACAACCTACTATTAAAACTAAATTAAAAACAACACCTTTCACAAAATTGTTAAAATGAATTAATTCTACCAATTAACATTAATAATAAAATGGTAAAGTGAAACCCCAATAAATAGTTGTGCTTCTTTGTGTAGAAATGATAAGATTTTGGAAGAAAAACATAAATATTTGTCCATCTTCCCAAACTCTTAAATTTAAACTGAAATTTGATGCATATGGACACTTTAGCCCAAATTGGCATAAACAGTATTTACTTGCTGTGTGCAGCGGATAAACGTTGCTCGCTTGGAAAGTTCTCTGAGCTGTCCTGCACCAGTGTATGTGCAAGCAGATCGCAAGCCTCCTAACACATCCAAAACTGTGCACTCAACATCACCTCTATAAGGGACTTGAACAGTTTTACCCTCAGCTGACCTGCAAACAAAATCAGTAACATGAATAATTACTTAGATTTAAATTGTAAAATATAAAACTTATTCTTTTTCAATCAAAATATGTTTCCTTTACCTGTAGTCAGCAACCCCACCAGCATGTTTCTTCATTGCAGTATCTGATGACATTCCATAGAAAGACTTGTACTGTTTCCCATCAGATTTAGTGATGATCTCTCCACCACACTGATCATGGCCAGCCAGCATTCCCCCGAGCATGACAAAATCTGCTCCAGCGCCAAAAGCTTTTGCAACATCTCCAGGACAAGTGCAACCTCCATCCTGATTTAAGGCAGGTAATGTAATATTTACCATTTGGCAGTGTTAGAATATTGAAAAGGATCTTGCGAACAAAAGTAAATATTAAAATTACTTACAGATATAATGTGGCCACCAAGACCATGAGCAGCGTCAGCACATTCAAGAACAGCACTAAGCTGTGGGTAACCCACTCCAGTTTTCAGGCGAGTGGTGCAAACAGAACCTGGCCCAATTCCAACTTTAACAATATCAGCCCCTGAAAGAATTAGTTCTTCAACCATCTCCCCCGTAACAACATTGCCTGCCTGAAACCAAAATAGACATAAGTGATACAAATATCAGCAGACCATTTCAAGATATAATTGCACCCAGCAGTGCCTAGTGCATTTGGCACTTAAAATTCAACACACATGTAGTGCATTAAAAGCGCATTACAGCATATAATGCACAAAAATGTGTTACCTTAATGTGCAGTAAATGCGGTAATGAGCATAAAAAGTGCGACAGGCGCTGTTCATGGTGCTCTACTTACAATGATTGTGTGTTGTGGAAAAGCATTTCGAACTTTCCTGACAAATTCAACAAAATTCTGAGTGTAACCATTAGCAACATCCAGACAGATAAATTTGACTCCAGGATTAACATTTAATACTGTGGAAAGTCTTTCAAAATCTGCTTGTCCTACACCAGATGAAGCGGCAACATGGGGAAGAGCATTTGGGTAAACTTCAGCGAATTTCTGCCACTCTTCAGGGGTGTAATACTTGTGTACTGTTGTAAATAGCCCATGCTAAAGAAGAGAAGGGATTTAAACATAAAATAAAAATTTGTTTAAGCAAAATGGTAGATAATTCAGAGGTTTCATCTACCTTGGCAAGAACAGCAGCCATTTCAAAAGTACCAATGGTATCCATATTAGAGGCAATAACTGGTATGCCTTTGTACGATTGCTTGGAGTTCCTAAAAGTAATCTCGCGGTATAGGTCAACCTGCAACAGGATTTGAAGGGTACAGGGAATGACTAGGTTAAGAACAAATCGTTTATTTAATAGTGATAACTTTTACCCGGATTTTACGGAAGCCTTGAAAAAAAGGATAACAAAAGTTTCTACCGTAGCCGTCTTCTATACCCATATGATTCGTACGAAATATTCAATTATGATAAATTATGACAATTAAAGTGACGTACGAACCTCTGATCTGCTTTGAAGAGTGCTTCTTTTGGGACGAAGTAGAACATCTTTGAAGTCTAATTTTATCTCATTAATAATATTAGGCATCGTTAAAAGAGTATTTTGATTTTGCGGGTTTTGGCTGAAAGAACAAATTAAAAGACTATCTTCAATTTTTAGGAAGACACCGTTTTTCAGCTGCTCCGCATCGCCAGCAGACGACGGCCAGTTGACACTGCCGAAGACAACTCATCCTAGCGACTCACATTGATTCAAAATAAAGAGAAAAAAAATCAGAGACTCTGAGTCAGAAAAGAACCAGGGAAAATTTGAATTGCGCATGTGGTTTATTATCGTATGTGTTAGGAGTAATGTCCGAAGCTCAATATTTTCCTTATCCCGCATAGGAATCAGCTTGAACCTCGCAGCAAGCTTGGCTTGAACTTTGAAGTCGGCCTTGAGGAAAGAGGGGGAATTTTAAGATTCGAAGTCGACTTTTTGACCTAAACCATTTTATCATATCATCACATACGCCTTTAAATTGTTGATTCACCTTAATGACCTCTTTCTATTTAACAGTTTCTGGCTGGGAACACGCGGCAAGTCAAGTAGTTCGTTTTTAGAACGCAACAGCATACAAAAATCTAAAAATCCTTCATATCATTTTTTCTAACTAATAAAATATCACATAAACATTGTTTTGGTTATCTATGAGTGTGGGGGTTCGAGACACGACACTTCTTTAAACCGTCCGACTTGCTCAGACTTCAAACTCACCCCTTACACACTTTATATTTTCGCGCGTCATCGAATACCTCCATGGCCTTATAGTAGCCACTGTTGTCGACATTTCAAACGTAAAGGGCGGGAATAATTACTTGTAGGTTTTAAATCAATATAGGGATATTTTCCATTCTTTGTTTACTTTATGGTAGATATATTTTGATTTCAAGACCATTTATGCGTGTCTAGATGTTTGGACAGGCTTCAAAATCGGAAAAGAGCTACGATTCTCTGGCTTGACAGAACCTTCTTGGCTCACTACGACAAGAAGAAATGGAGCATTGTGGGAAAAAAAAACAGAATTTCATCATGGCCACGCAGCGTTGCTAATAGCCCTATTGTGTTCGCTACCAATATGTTTTCATGCTTCTAAACGAAAGTTACCCCTCAATGTGTATTTTTAGTTCAAAGTAAGCAACGTTACACATTTCTAGAGTATTTTGTGAACACACAGCTTGGATTTACTGTGGAGTCCCGGCGGTTTTGCATGTTAAAGGGACAGCGGGTCGCATGGGAGGTGGAGCAATTTGGATAGGCTGAGACATTAGAAAGTTTGGTTGGCCTCTGTATCAACATAAACAAATACGCTAGCCAGCTCAATATTAGAATCACAAAGTTATGGCTGTCACGCTTGGGACAAGTCTGCAGCAAGTGATTTGATCGTTCCCTATCTATGTCGTACGGTACTAAAATTTAAGGCTATATGTCTCCGTAAGATTGGCTCACAACAAAATGAATAGATTTGTTCGTGAAACTAACATGAGTCATTTAGCACACAGTCATCACTTAAAACCTTTTAATTCTACGGCGCGCTTTGTTCGAAGAAGCTTAGATTCGCTGCAATATTTTTGATAGGTTAAGAGTGTGTCCGAATTCAGCCACCGACCGAGCACCGACCGGTCGGTGCTCGGTCGGTGGCTGAATTCGGACACACTCTCTGGCCCTTGACAACAAGACCTAGTCATCTGTAAACAATATAGTTACTTGAGGCTTCTATCCTTAAGAATAAGATAGTAAGTCAATCAAATTGATCCGGATCGCAGTTGAATTATGAACTTCATCGTTTTATGACATTTGTCATCAGATATTTCTCAAAAATTTCACTGAGGGATGTGACAGCTTCATCATCTTCATTCATCATCATCATTTGCAAACAAATTTGTCTTGTTACTCTTGTTCTATAATTAGGAGTAGTAACTTTCCAGTGGTATTTTTTGCTTGAAGTAGAAAAAGGGAGACTTTTGGGATGTTCACATTCTCTTATGGTAATCTAGTATTTAATTGCTACCATTGGTACTATCCTCAAATGAACTGAGCATTAGCATAATTAAATTACTTTTTACATACTCAATTCAATGTCTCTTGCACTGAACCTATATAACCCTTTAGGAGGAAGAGGAATAACTCATCTCTTCACAGAAGAATCTACTTACTTGTCATCATATATTGAAGTCTTTCTTAAAAAGAAAATTTAATCTTTCATCTATTGCCTTACCAAAGTCACACAATTTATGGCATTAGCTAGTTTGTTTTTATTTATCCTTTAATATTATGCAAATAAGAAAAAGTAGTTGGTCATGCCAGAACAGTTATCTTTTGAACAATAATCGTAATTGTGGTATCAAGCTATTTAACATGGCTTCAAGAATTAATCTGTCAGTCCAAGTGGCAGTTGCTATTTTGCTAAGAAGAGTATCCCAAGAAAATCATAACATTGGGGAACGTGCTTGGGGTTGGCTTGTTGGCATGCTCAGGGTTCGTTAGTGGAGGTGGGTATGAATTTACAAAATTGGTCACATCTTATTCATTTTCATTTTTTGCTGCCTGCTTCTGTGTGCCATTCAGTTACATTTACAATAAATATATGTAGTTCATTACAAGGCTATTCAATTTTAAAATTTATTTTTTATTTTTGTTTGAAGTTTAACATAAGATTATTTTATCACAATTTTTCTATGGAGTTATGATATCTACATTTGTCTTGCTTCAAATTTTTAATTTAGATGATCTCTCAGCACGCATTTCACTGACCACATGTCTCTCATTGCTGGGTGCTTGTCTTAAATTTTTTATCTGTAACATAGCAAAGGCTTTAACACCAAGAATGAGCTTTCTCCTTGTAGACCGGATTCATTTATTCTTCCGACTTAATTTTAATGTGAAGGGTCCATTTCTGATAATATCTAGCTATTTGCTTATTGTTTATGTTCATGTATGGCATACATTTTATTGAAAGTCCCTATTTTTAATTGAACTTTTCTATTGTAGCAGTGTTCCAATCGTGCTATTTTATTTGAATTTAATTGAAATTATAGTTGGGTGCTGATATGTAAAGCTATGGCTGTTAAGCTGCATTGGCTGTTAACGCTCAAAAAGTACTGTTTTAAGTTTTAATTTTGAAAAACTGAATTTTTATAGAAGTGGTTTATTACTGTATCTTTTATTAACAGCTGTTGATTGATTTGTGATGCCAAAATATTTTCATTTTGTCAGGTTTTTATGTGTCCCATTCTTCTTGTTGCAGATGAATTGGGTCAGAATGAGAGATAAAATTTGCTGACCCCTGCTTCAGCAGTGGAGAACCACCAATGGATAAAATGTACATTAAACATGAGCCAGGCTTGGATACAAGTGGCATGGCAAGTGTGTTGGGAAGCGGGGTTGCAGGCGGGGTAGCTGCTGATGCAGCACAATCTCGCATCTGTTTTGTATGTGGAAGTGTAGGGCACAAAGAGCAATTTTGGCTTAATGTTAAGCCCAATTCTAGCAACCCCAGTGAACCATACTTCCCATATTTAGAGAGTCATGAACCACCATCAGGTTACAGACACCTTTCAAGTTCTCGACCAGATACTGTGGTGAGTTGCTCCTCTGCATGCCATGCTTTCTTTCTGATAAAATTCATTGTAGTTTTTTGTTTTAATATAGCTTTTTTTTCAGGTTCGATCGTGCTATTTGTGTTATTCAATGTTGATGCAGCAGTGGAATAATTATGAGCGTGACAAAACACCACATGCTCAAAGATTGTACTGGATGAAGCGCTGTGATAATGGACCATACACGGGTGCAGAAATGGGATTACAAGGAGAATATGCTGCTCAGGTGCTTGGACTCAGTCATGAACCAAATGCAATATCTGCATCTACAGCTGTTTCCCAAACTCTGAATATTATACCATCAACTACAGCCACAACATCTGCTGTAAACTCAAGTGTGGATATTTCTTCATCTGGGCCTCAGCAGCATACCCCATCTTCATTTCGGTTTGTTATCCTCACTGTTGTTTGATGATGTATTTGGCTACAACCCCCAATTCTGATCTGTGTTTTACCATTATCAGGGAAGAAACTGGTGCTGCCACTCCTTCATCCACTCCGATTAAAGCTGCTAGTTTGCCATTGACTACGGGTTTGCCATCTCGTTCACTAGAAGATCACAGATCTTCTTCTGATATGGCTCTTGATTTAAGAAATACGTCTCGTAATTCACCTACTTTGTTGCCTGCTCCTCAGCCTGTCTCCAGTAATTTTCATCTTATTGTCAGTAGAATTGGTGTCATAATCATCTAAAATTTGAAGATTTACATGAAATTTCTCTTTACTTTGATTTAGGTGCATTTTCCCGCCTTACAAGCACTCCTGCTATGGACATTTTAGATCTCAGTATGCCAGATAAAAATGCAATGACTGAAGTTTGTTATGTTTGTGGGGATGAGTTTAAAAGGGGCATTTTAAATCATATTGCGGCAAAGCCTCAAACTCTCAAGCCTGGTGAAATTCCACCTCATCCATCAACAATTGATGTGAACAAAGTTCAGCAGCCTTTCTTTCCAAGTTTAATGTTGCACCCAAGACCAAGCAGGTCACGGCCTATGGATAGTGCTGGCCGAGTGCAGGTATGAACAATGTGCATTTTGAGATATGATAGTGGTGATCATAAGCTTTTGATATATACCCATAGTTAACAATTTCTCATTGTCTCTCCCCCCCATAACTATGTATTGAGTCCTCTATGTTTTTACATCACAGGCCTGTTCGGAGTGTCAGAGACATTTATTACAACAGTGGCATACATTATCAGCTCAAAGAATCCCTCACCAAGAACGAAACTATATTCTTCGTAAACGACCTGCCCCAGCGCTTGATAATAGCACCTTTGTTTGTTATACATGTGCTCTTGAATATCCTTCCACGTCACTTCGATTATTGTTTTGCTGTCCAAATGCAGAAAAAGAGCCCTATTTTCCTTTTATTTGTGGCCTTAAACCACCCCTTGGAGCTAGTCCCATATCTCCTCAAGGGACAGTGCAGGTAAATCTTTAACTTGTTTGTTACCTATTTATCATTGGGAACATTACTTCAACTAAATGGTTTTCTTGTTTTCTTTTTTTCTTTTTCTATTTTTATTAAGGTTTGCTCTATCTGTCACAAATCAATTCCTCAAAAACAACAAGTGTTTGGAGGTGAACCATCAGGAATGCTTGGTGGTCTAGCGGGTGGATTTCAAGGAAGTGTTTCTGGTAGTTTACATGGTAGTGGGATGGGAGGTGAGTTAGGTGCTGTTAGATTAGCTGGAGGCAGCCAAATTGGTAGTGATATACGCTTTAAGCCATATGAACTAAGTCGTCCTCCAAGTGCAAGTGGCAGCAGACAGAGAACACCAACATCTGATCAAATGGCAAGTTGATTATTGTTTTCATTATTTTATATTATCAAATATTCATTGATGGTTATTTTTATCTTACATTTCTAATGTTTGGAGCAGGGTCTCACTGCATCTCCTGGAGCAGGAAGTCCCAAACCACCTTCTTGGCCTGAACCTCGACCATCATCAAGACCTCAAGCAACACCCCCACCTCAACCAGTGGGTGGAACAGGTCAACTACAAAGTTATCGGTGTTACGTCTGTTCAGGGCTCTTCGCTAAGAATCATCTGGAATGGTTGTGTACAAGTGCGGAAGGCATGAATTCTCATGCAATGCATTTTCCTTGTTTGCGCAATGTAAGTGTCGTAAACATCAGGAATGCACCAACCTTAATTGTGTTGTATGTAACAATATGTTCTTATGTGCTATACCATGCTTCTCATCCATTTAGCTGGTGAGGAGTAATGATTTCAGCTCAGCTGATTCTCATGGACGAGTGCTTTCTTGTACACGGTGTTATCGCCACCTGGCTCGACAGTGGGATAACATGGAACAAGAGAGAGTACCTTTAGAAAGGCGAAGGTATGCCGTTGACTCTGTTTTCTCATCTATCTATCTACCTATCTGAAAAAAAGTCGGTGTTAACTTTGATTTTTTCCCTTTTACAAACAGGTATGATTTACCAAGTCCTGCCAATCCAGGTTGTTGGAATGGTTCATCATCTCCATCACCTCATCCACGCTCTGCTCCTCCTACACCACCATCTAGCACCCCAACTCCTACTCCTCCTGCTGCCACAGGTGGCAGTTCCATCTACTGTTTCTTGTGCGGCCTCCACTCAGAACTGACTCTTGCCCGAGTGTTGTATGGTCGTTCTCAAGGTCCAAGTGCTCCTTTCTTTCCCTCACTTCTCACACATCACTCCCCTCCCAATGCTGAACAACTGCGAGAAGATGGTTCTGCTCTTGTATGTACATTTTGTTACCATTCACTCCTTGCACAGTGGAAAAGGTTGGTTTTTTATTACATTTAATTCCTGGTTAATTTTTGTTAGTAATTTCTAACCTGTAAAGATTTACTTTGATTTTGTTCTTTCGTTCAGGTATGAAGCTGTAGCAAGCAGTTCAGGCACATTGGTACCCTCAGACAGACGAGAATATAACACTCATGACTACTGTTGTTATGTTTGTGGTGTTGCAACATACCGCCGAAGAGTACGTGCTTTACCCGTTAAAGTAAGTCCTGCTGTGCTTATTCCGTTGATCCTTTGAAAGATTTATTATGATAATTTCTTCCCTAAATACAAATTGTCAATTGTGAATTCTGTATAGGATTTCCCATTCTTGAAAGATCACCGTCAGTCAGATAAGCGCCTTCTTCTGGAGAATGGAGATTTTGCTGTTGTTTGCTTGGACTGCTATGAATCACTGCGAGCCCAGTCGCTTACTTATGAGCGCATGGGGCTGCCTGTTGATAAAAGAGAGTACAATTGGATCACTCAACCTCCTCCACCAGAGGATTCACCAGATGCATCTATTGCAAGGCTTCCATCAGGAGAACGCACTGAGAAGTCATCATTGGTACTACACATTGAATGAAAATGGTCTCTTGTCAGATTTACAACAAAACATTCTCTTTAACTGATTTGTCTATTTGTCTTTTGTTAGAGCTCACCACTAATATCAAACCGCACTGCTAAGAAGCCTGCTCCTTCACCAAAAGTAGCTGGTCCTGACAGAAAGAACTCAAAACAGCTTGTCCACCCCGATCATCAGGGTAAGTTTGGCATCCAAATCTATTTTTTTTCTCCAAGGTTTGGAATGTATGCAGCGAAGGTTTTGAGTGCCTGGTCACATCAGAGGGTGTGGACCTCAGTTCAATCCAAACAGGCTCGAGAGGGTGCATTAAGGTGTTTATGCACCGTAGTGTTGTGGAAGACCTGCAAGTGTTGACCGCTCGTGTTCTTGCCGCTGCTCCATAGCGGTCACCACACCAT